TACGTATTGGTTGGATAGTTAAGCGACATCAACCTTTACTTTGGAGGGCTCTCGGGCCAACCCCTCTTTTTTCGGGGATTATGACCGTAATTAAATGAAAATAAAAATGCCGTAAATCCATAATTTTTTAAAAGTATGAATATTTATTGTATGGCTTAATTGGTTCAATGCTTCTTACGACTAAACCAAACTAGAGCCTACGAGAATAAATTTTATATCACATTATTGCCCAATAAGAGACAAAAAAAGTTTTTTTGATTATTTAAAATAAAAGTTTTTAGATAATTGAAAGGAATTATGAGAATTTTGATTTAAATTATTTATTAGACTTTAAATTGTCAATATTAGAAAATAAATTATTAGTTGAAATAAATAAACAAACAAAAGAATTTAAAGAAAAATTTGGAAAACAAAAAATTAAAAATTTAGAAAAACATTATAAACGTTTACTGAATGAAAATAATTGGAAAGAAATTAATTTGTTATCTTATAAAATTAATTTATTTGAAAAAATTGGGAAAATAAATGAAATTGAAGGGGATTTAATAAATAAAATAAAAGAAATTAATCGGAAATTAAGTGGAGGTTTTAAATTTTAAAATAAATAATTAATTAATAATTATTTAAATATAAATATTTTAAGGAAATCAACAAACAAAAAATAACCTTGCAATAGTTCCTTACCAACAAAAAGAATTAGTAGTTCCTACAGGAATTCATGGTAAAGTTTTAAATTATTTTTGGATAAATTAAAATATTTTTTTAAATTTTTTCCTGTTCCGAAAAGAAGTGGATAGACTTTGATAATACAGAAATTTTAATGAGTTAGCCACTTCTAATACACATACTTAGCAAAAGTGCCGAAACTGGCATATTCAGTAACACCCCTATCTTTGGTTTATCCGCGGAGAATATTCTATTTTCGAATTAGAGGGGTCCATTTAATTGGAATTTCCTAAAGGTTGAAGTAATCCACATAATTATTTAATTTATCTAGTCGAGACAAATTATTTGATTTAATTCAGTAACTATTTATTTTTTAATTTAAAATAATTATTTAGTGACTCCAATACAAAGTTTAGCACCTGAATCAAGTTTAAAATTAATAAAGGGAAAAAATATAAAGCCTGAAGATCCAGTTAAGTTAATTAATTAAATAATTATATTTGATTTAAATTATAATTCTTTTTAAAGAATTTATTTAATAATTTATTCACCTAAAAAAGTTACTAAATTAAATATTTATTTTTTTTCTTTTAAGATAAAAAATTTAAAAAATCGTTTAAATAAGCTTTGTAATGGAGAAGAAATTTATCATAAAAAGAAACAAAAATGGGATAAAAAAGAAAAATTCGATAAAATTGAAAAGATTTTGAATGTTGCTGAGGATGCTGATGGAGATATTTGTTTTTTGGTTATTTTAATAATTAAATAAATATAATTAATATATATTTTAGGTAAAATGGGAAAATCATGGTCCTAGTGAAAGTAAATAATTTTTTAAAAATATTTATATATCTAATTAATTAATTAATTAATAATTAACCTAAAATTTTTCCTTTTTTTCTTGCCTTTTACATATTCCTTTTAATTAGAAATAGTCGAGTTTTTATAGTTTTTTTAAATAGTTTTTCATGAACAATCTTTTTAAATTAACCCTAAAAATTTAAATCTATTCACTATTATTCTAATTTATGTGTATAGAAAAATACGTTTTACAGATTTTACCAACTTTGTCTTGAAATTATTTGTTAAATCAAATGATATAAACTCTTCTCATAACAAAATTTTTAATAACAAAATCTAAATAAAGATTGGAGCCTATAAAGTGATAAATGATAAATACCTTTAATTTTATAGACAGTTGGCTTGCCTATGAGGAAATCGGACATTATCCAATAACAAGAGAATATATAAAAGAAATAATTGCTAATGGTATAATTATTAAAAACTTTAAATAAATTATGCAGTCTGGGAATTCTTTTAGAGCTGCGAATCTGCTTTGTCTTGAAATAATTTCTGGTTACTTTGAGCAAAGTTGTTCGAATCTAATCGGTCCCGCACTTTCGATATTTACAGAAATGTCTGGAGGATTTTTAAGTAATAAAAGTATGACTGAGAAAATATCTCAAATACTGACGGGGCGAGAATTGATAATTAATATATATCCGAATAATTTCTTTTTAAAGATGACAATAAAATACATGAATGTTTTTGTAAGTATTGTGGAGAACGTAAAAAGATTGAAGTTAATTCAATTCAATGTATAAATTGTAATTTTTGGGTTCATGGAGATTGTGCAGGTTATAAAAAAGGTGACATAAGAAAAATGAAAGAAAGTAAATTCAAATGTAAATATTGTAAACAAGAGGAAGAAGAGGAAATGAAAAAATTAGCTTTAATTGGGATATAAGCATTCTATAAAGTTTTTGTAAACGTAAAATTTTTAAACTACTAGAAATCGGAACCGTTTACTGAACGCACTTCCAGATTTATGATTAAGCCGAACTGTGGATATTCATTTTTTTAACCGGGAGTTGAGTAGTTTAAAATATAAAACACAAAATTTTTAAATTATTTTTATATCTTTAAGTTAAGGGGATGGATTGTAAACAGATAAATTTTAAGATTTGTAATTTTTATATAACATTTATATAACATTTTGATAATTTAGAAAATAAAAATTAAAAAGAAACAAAATTGCTTTCCTAAGTATTTTGGTATATTTGATAAAACAGTATTTCTTCTAATACTGCGACCCTCTTTCTATTGACCGACCCCTTGGTTGAAAAATAAACCGACAGGTCGCACTATTAGAAGAAATTAGAAGAAATACTAATAGTATTTAATTATTAACTAATAATTAATTAATTATTAATGAGCATATTTTATAATCCATTTTTCGATTTTTCGGGACTAAAAAAGACATTCTATTCATTTAATGTTTATTTAATGTCTAATATTTTTTATATAAAATTTTAATTATTAGTATACATATATTACATAAATTCCATCCAAAAATCATTTTATTTTTTCGTAGCGAACTAATGAAAATATTTAAAGATAGGCTGAATGACGGGCGTTGCCATTAGCAACCATTTGCTGACCAAACTGCTGACCAAATAATATTTTTCTATTTTTAATTTAGCTTTTCTAGCCGAATAATTATTAAATATCTATATAGTTTTAATTAATATTTTAAATAAAAATAAGAGAAAATAAAGGCTAAAGATTAATTTTTAAATAAAAACTTTTATTTTTAAAATAATCCTTTTGTTATTTTTTATTTAAAAAATGCCTTGTTTTAATGCTCATTAAAAAATAAATTAAAAATAAATTCAAGCATAGTTAACTTGATGAATAATAATTTAAATTATGCTACATATAATTATCCAAATTTAATGATTACAGGTTTAGTTTAAATATATTTTTAAAATTTTAAAAATATTTTTATAAAAAAGGAAAGAGTATTCCTCCTCAACAAAAATCTGTGCCTTCCTCTACAAATATTGCTTTTGGTAGAGGAATAACAACAATTACACGTAGAAAACAACAACAACAATTAAATGAGAAACAAAATTATTTAAATAAAAATAAAACAATAATTCGAAGGAGTGGAAGTGCTGGACAATTAGCTGATAATAATCGAAGAGAGTCAACAATTTCAACTTCTGCCGTTTCAGTTTTTAATACTTCAACTCAAAATAGTAGAAGAGTTGTTTGTAATTGTAGAAATGGAAATTGTAAATGTGTGCCAAGTATGGCTTTTTTAGAGGGGGTTTATGTACAAAATTTGCAAACACAAATTGAGGTGCTCGAATTGGAAAATGCTTATTTGTAAGTTTATTTATTAAATTATTCAAGAAAATATATTGGAAGGATGGGAAGATCCAATTGGGAGCTTTTAAAATGCTTAGGGATGGGGTTTAAGATCTAAATGGTGAAGTCATAACCCCTTTGTCGGTAAAGCCTCTTAACGAGGTGAGCGAAGCGCATAGTAAAATCAGCCAAACAACGTCGCACGACGATCCTGGTTTTTTTATAAATGATTCACAATAAAAATATTTGATTTTTAAAAGTTCCAAGGATTCTGAAAAATAATTAAATTCGTTCAAAATTTATGTTAAAAATATCTCAAAAAATTAATTTTAATTTCAAAGACGAGGTGCTACAGACAGAGGTGCTTTATTTGCAAAACAACCAACAACCGAAGACAATTATTATAATAATATTCAAAAACAAAGAAATTCTTCAAATTTATTTAATAATCACGAAAAAAGAAAAATAAATAAAAAAGACGAATTTGAAGATAAAAAAGAAGAAATAATATTAAATAATTTATTATTAAAAAAAGAAAAAAGAGTTGGATTTTTTAATGGAGAAAATGAAAAAAGAAAAGAAATAATTAAAGATTGGGAAGAAAGTTTTGATTATAGTGGAGGGGATGATTCTGATAATAATAATAATTGGAAGAGAAGAAATGAAGAAAGAAAAATTAAGGAGGAAGAGGAAGAAGAAAAAAGATTTTTGTTATTAGAAAGAAGAAAAGAGAAGAAAGAATTTGAAGAAAGGGAAGAACTTGTAAAACAAGAAATTAGAATAAAAGAAGCGGAAATTTCCAGGATTAAAGGGGAAAGGCAAGAATTGGAGAGAAAGCTTAGATTGGCAGAAGGTTTTCCTTAAATTTTGATTAATTTGATAGCTGAACCCCAGTAGGTAGACGTCGCTTTTTAATTGAACACTCAGAAGCCAAACTATAATTTATCTTCCAAAATAATTTTTGAAGAGTGAACCTCAGAATCCCTTATTTGTTAGTGTCTAAGATCCTGTCGACAAAATATTCCCATTTCTTTAGTAACCCCCACCTCCCAGATTTGTGAGAACAACACAAAAATCGGAACTTTGTGAATTGTCAGAGGATAGCTGCTTAGTGTTTGGGGTTAATTAAAACAAGGTTAATAGCCGTTTTGAATAATGGGATAATATTTGAATAAATAAAATATTTAAATTATTAGGAAAAATGAGTGATGAAAGAAGATCTTTGCATACAGAAAATGTAGAATTACAACGTCGATTAGAAGGATTAACCCCTTTACTTGCAGAAAAAGAAACAAAATTAATTAAATTAGAACAAGAAATTGAAATATTAAATAACAAATTAAAACAACAAATTAAAGAAATTGAAAATTTAAAAATAAATTTAGAAGAAAAATTAAAAGAAAATTTAAAACAAAAAAGTGAAGGGGAAAGGATTGAACAACGTTTTAAATTAAATATAGAAACTTTAAATAATGAATTGGAGGAAAGTAAAATAAGAGAAGCTGACTTGGAGGTGAAAATTAAAAATATTTTTTTTTTAATTAAGGGGAATTTTATTCAAAAAATAAAAATAATTTAAGAGAGAATTGACTGAAACAAAAATAAAATCAGAACAAAGAGAAGCTAGTTATCGTCGAGAAGAACATGAACGTTATCAAAGAGTAATTGATGAACTTAATGAACAATTACAACAAACAAATGAACGTTTTGAAAGGTCGGAACGTGAAAGGAATGAAGCAGAAATAAAAATTGATGAAGTAATTTAAGATATTATTTATTTAAAAATATTAATCGTGGACCATAATTATCTGAATAGAATCGAAAACCTGGGAATCAATGTCTTGTGAATTGAGAAATTTCCTTGAGTCACTATATGTACATATTAGGATTTATTGAAAATTTTCAATGAATAATGACGGTATTTTTAGTGTGTCCGGATTAATCAAACAATTCAACTTTTCTAAAAACAAAATAATTAATAAGAGTTAACATTTTAAAATATTTTAGTTGAGGCAAAAGAATGACATTCTCGAAATGGAATTAGAATTAGCACATGATAAAATGTCCCAACAACAAGAAACGTCAAGAACTTTGGAAGAAAAAGTATTCTTTAAATAAATTAATTTAAATAATTAATTTTCAAAAAAAAAGCAAAGAGAATTACATTTACAAGAAAAAGAACACCGTTCAGCACAAGTTAGAGCCCAAAGAGAATTAGAAGCATTACAAAGTCTTTCCCAATCACTTGCAAATGAAAATAAAGGATTAAGAGAAGAAAGGGCTGATTTGGAGGAAAGAATTGGGGAATTAACTGAAATGGTTTTTAATTTTAAATTAATTTAAAATTAAATATTTTTAAAGTTAAATATTCGAGAAAATAGAGTTAAAAGAGCGGCAGAATTAATTAATGAATTTCTTGAAAGATATAGACTAACTAGTGGTAGACTTAAACAACAAATAGGTCGGCAAGCAGAAGAGTAAGTTTTTGAAAATTATTTTTAAATAATAGTTTATTTATTTTAAAACTTTATATAATTTGAAGATAGTTAATAATTGGATATAATTTTTAAACTTTCGTAAAATAAAATTAAATTAAAATTTAGACAGTAGATAATTTTTAATAACTAACACAAAGTTTATTTATTTAAGCAATTAAACAAAAAATATTAAGCAATTACTGAGAAAAAAAAATCGTAAAATAAAACAGAAAATAGGGCAGCCTTATAATTTTTGGAAAATTTTTAGTAAGATTAAAAATAATACGAATAATGCCCCTTTTAAAGGAGAAGTTTGTTGTATAACAATTTTATTTTTTAAATCAAAATTTAATTTAAAAATTTTAAAAGCTGTGAGGAATTTGACCGTTTAATTCAAAAACTTCGTCAAATGGTTAATATAGTCTCTAATAATCCAGAATCCCCAACAATAATTACTAACAGAGATGGAAGTAGCCTAGTAACTAATTTACGCCCATCAACAACAGCTAGTTCATCGACTAATTCTCCTTCATTATTATCTGCCAGTAAAACAACAAAACAAAGAAATATAAATAAAAATATTGGAGGAATTAAAACAAATATTAATAATAATAGAAGAACAAAAACTGATTGAAATTTATTCTAATTGTTGGGAAGATAGACATTCAAAATATAAATGACAATTTATACATTGGCATTATGTTATATTTATTTTCCGCCTATTTTCCATCCTCATTTTCCCTCTATTTAAGCTGTTCCCAAATACCCCATTTCTGTTCAGTTCTCTGTTCATTCGTAATTTATACAGCGCTTTTATTCTTCCACCTTAATTTATATTTATTTGACTTAATAAATATTTTGACTGTTTGTCAAAGTTTTCTTTTGTTGTAACGAGTACACAACAAAATTGGCGCGGTCGACTTACTTAATTTGACTGAAGTATTTTATTGAAATTCTACATTATTTATTCGACCTCTTTCGACTACTTAATTGGAATTTCATTTTTATTTATTCTGGTCGATTTTCTTTAATAATCGACAACTTTTGCTTCGTCAAATTTACAAATTATTTTTGCTTATTCGACTCGACAAATTTGGTATTTTTATTGGCGCAACCCGACTCGGCCAATCAATTAAATTTACTTACCTTGGTGGTAGTAAATTTTTCAACAAATCAGACAAAAAAAATTGTTGGCCTAGGCGGCTTATACAATTTCTCCGAGACGGAGTTTTTCTTCATCTTCAAAAAAAATTGTTAACCTAGGCGGTTTAGACAATTTCTCCGAGACGGAGTTTTTCTCAACTCATCGATAAAAAAATTGTTAGCTTTGTAAGCGAAAACAATCTCCTTGGTGGAGTTTTCAAAATCAATCAATAAAAATGGACGCCAAGCAATTACAACAAGTTTTGGAAGCCGTCCTTAAGCAACAAGCCCAGACCACCTCTACAGCCAATAATGCAACATTAGCTTCTGCTTTAAGTGGACGCATCACCACATTCAATTATGATCCTGAAAACGGATCGACATTTGAAAGCTGGTTTAAAAGGTTTGGTACCTTAATAAATGATGATGGGAAAGACCTCCCAGATGCTTCAAAGGTTAGGCTGTTGGTAGGAAAATTGGGAGAAGAAGAATACGCCAAATACAGCAACAGCGTAGCTCCCGACACACCCGATATCATTACGTTCAATTTATTCTTCCACTTTAATTTGTAATTGGTTTATTCTTCCACCTTAATTTATATTTATTTGACTTAATAAATATTTTGACTGTTTGTCAAAGTTTTCTTTTGTTGTAACGAGTACACAACACTAATTAATTTTTTATTTTAATTGTTTGTGCATAAAAATAATTTATATATTTAAGGCTTTAAGGCTTTATTACTATTAATAATTTAAGTTAAGTTAAAATTTAAAAGTTTATTTCAAATTATACAAAAACGCTACATAACTAGCCCGCTTCGCGGGCTAGTTATGTAGCGTTTACGTATGCTTTATATTTAGTACATATGCTTTATCCGAAGTACGTTTGGCCTTGTCTGTAGTAAGGTGGCCCTATGGGCGTTGGAACCTAAGCCTTGCCCGTTAGGGCCTTCGGCCCAAACTTCGTCCGCTCCGCGGCCGAATGGGCGCTGCGCGCCCATGGAGGGTTTAGTTACGTTGCTTTGCCTTCCGGGGCTGCCTCTAGGCGCTACGCGCGGTCAAAAAATAAAATTTTGCAATTTTCAGTCAAGGACTTCGTCTTAGACTTCGTCCGCTCCGCGGCCGCATGGCCGCGGAGCGGCCATAATGCCTTTAGTTACGTTGCTGGGCCTTCCTAGGCTGACTCTAGACGTTTCGCGGGGTCAGAAATGAAATTTTGCAACTTTCAGTCCCAGACTGAAAATTTGTCACCTGAGACTCAAGTGTACTTTTGCTTAAAAACACTTTTAAGCCCTCCCTAACATGATCCTATGGCATCCCCCACCCTTCAAAATAATTCACAAAGTCCCAGACTCAATTTGAAACCCCCAGACTCAAGTGACCCCTTGGAAAATATTTTCATTAAACTCCCCATCAGCTATTACCTATTCCCCTAAAGTTTTAGCCAGATCGTCCAAGCCTTTCCCGAAATATCCCGAAACTTTGAAATACCACGTTTGGCCAACAAAATTTTGTCCAGACCCTAACTACCCTAAAAGTCGACCGAATCGAAAAATTTCTTCGGCCATCAGATCCGGTCTGGCCTAACTTAGGTTCAAAATAACTCCACCGAATCTCTCCGGATTCGTCTTCATATCGAAAAGTCGAAATTGGCGAAACGTGTCATTTTTCGACTTCGATTTTCGACCCCTAAACGAAGGAATTTCGAATTTTTTTTGAAACTTTTCTAGAGCAATATGGGTACGCTCTTTCGAATGAGACCACTCACGAGTCTCTCCGACTTTTCATTTTCGAGATATGTCGAAAAAAAATTTTGTCCGGGGTCGAACTACCCCTAAAGTCGAAAATTTCGAAAAAAATTTTTTTCCATTAGGTCGGGCCTAGTCCAACTTAAACACAAATAAGCAGAACCTTTTTCCTACGGGTTCGACTTTTTGAGATATTTCGAAATTGGCAAAATGTGGGATTTTTCAAAGTCGAATTTCGACCCCTTACGACACGAAATTGATTTTTTTTGGAAGTTTTCCCAAATACTACAACCACTCACAAATATTATGAAAAAGACCCCATCCCGATCCGATAATGCCTTCCGGTCAATCTTGATTCTTTAAGAATTTTCCAAGTTTCGAGGTCGAATTTCGACCTCTTAACGCCGGAATTTCGAATTTTTTATATTTTTTTGTAAGAGTAACCCATACCTCCGCTATCGAATGGTACCACTCCCGAGGCTCTACGACTTCTGTACGAGGCGGTGGGCAAAACGGCTAAAAATGAACCCCCCTCTTTTTTTTTCTAATTATACAAAATAGAAAAATAAGCATTTTTCTGCCAAAATTTTTAAAAATCCCTAAAATGTTTTACATAAAATTTCATATTTATAATTGCCATAAGTAAATAATAAATTTTTAAAATATGTATATCACACAATTTTTATTTAATTAATGTCCCCACAACTTTCCTCCAAAATTTATTCTTCTTCGATACTAAATTTGTTATTTTTATTTTTTATCCCAATATTATTATGTGAATTTTCCAGAATTTGTTCAAAATCGCCTTCATTGCATAATTGTTTATTACAAATACACAAAAGTGTTGAAGACTTGAAAATGTTTTTAAATTAAAAATTTTATTAAAAATAAAATATTTTTTAATATATTTTTTAATCCACACTTTTACTTATAAAATTATTTTTAATAAAATTTTTACATGACTCTGCGGAGGTGATGGACTTCCATCTCTAATAATAATGTCATTATTATTACTTCTTTTCCTCCTTTCCAAAATTTCAGATTTATCATCATTAAATATTCTTTTTGGCAAATTTAATTTTGATTGTTTTAGGTGATTCTTTGACGGAAGTTGATTTTTTGAAAATGAATTTAGAGGAGCAGGATTGGGAGGAGATTGGTGATCAATTTGTGAAAGTAACTTAAATAAAGAGTAAATAATAAAGAGTAACTTTAAATAGAATTTTATTTAATTAGACTAACCCATTGTTCAACACTTTGACATACTCCAACATTCTTTCCTCCATTCAATTGATATTTTTCCAACCCAATTCCCAAGCCTGGACTTGTACAAAATTTACGCATATGTGGACGCCCAGGGGTTCCACGTTTGGAGAAGTAAAGGAGAGTTGAACAACTTTGTGTTCCAGGTGGTCCTGCTGGGCATTCTTCTATCTTTTTTTAATAAAATTTATTTTAACTAGGGTTGTCGGTTCTTGAAAAATTTCGACTATCAGGAACCGAAGAAGCTTTATTACTATCTAGGTTAAACTCTCAATACAAAATTTTATCAATAGTTGTTATCTCAAGATAACTAATGAGTAGGGTTGTCGGTTCTGGACCGATCCGAAGAACCAAACCATGGATTTTCGGTTCGGTTTTGGATATCTGATGAATTTCCAGGAACCGACAAAATACTAAAGAGTTATTTATTGAAATAAACAGCATAAGTAAATAAGAAATTAAAAACTAGATAGGTATATTAGGATTAAAACAAATTAGGTATTTAAAAATATTAATTAAAATTTTTTGCGAAATATGTGTAAACAATCCAAAGTGGCAATTTAATGGTAGCTTTCAACCATTTATTTTTTTCGAATTTTACCTTTTCTATACAAGGTTCTGTGTCATCATTATCAGAATTAGTATTACATACAAAACATTCAAAACCGGCTGTGAAAAAAGAAAATAAAAAATCAGGTGAAGGAAATAAAATAATTAAAAAATATATTAAATGTTTATTATTCATTTTTTTGAAGGAAGGAATGGATAAATATATTAACAATAACAAGAGTTTATATGGATGATCAAGAAAAAATGAAGGGATTTTTGGGAGTATATGGAGCGCGGAAAAGAGTCGATTAAACAAAGTAGTACTGGAAGAAAAGTTCTTTTGATGTATGGGGAGATGAAAAGAATTAGGAAAAAAAGCAAAAAAAAGATTTTAGTTAGTAGTTGTCCTAAATGTGGGTAATTTAGGTAATGTTTTATTTTTTTAGTCATTCCTTTTAATATTTCAACAAAAAAAGAAACCGGAAACTACCCCCATAGGAAGTTGGAAATTAGCAAAATTTGAATGTGATTCCGTAATCAATTCACAATAACAATAGATTTGAGTAATTTTCCATTATACCCCCTCCCCTCGTATTTAATGGAATTATGGGTCAAAATTAGCGATCGGTAAACTTTTTGGGTTAACAAATTCCTTATCAAAAAATAAAAGGGCAGGCGAGGATTAGGGTTGGGGGTTTTACCTTAGCACATATATTTACTTAAACATCACATGCAGAAAGGAAAATATTTTTCTTCTTTTTTTATATAAATAGATATATTTAGACTGATCAATAAATTGTTGATCTTTATTTTTTTTTAGAAAATTCAAGATAATCCGAAAAAAAATATTTTAATAAATTTTAGATTTAATGAATTTGGAAAAAAATGAGAATCAAAATTCTAATGATAATACAGCTGAAATTAATCAAATAATAAATAATATTCAATCTTTGAATCAACTAGGTTTTATTATTTTTAAATTAAATTAAAAATATTTTAATTAATTATTTTCAAAAATAGCTCAACAATTAAATCAATGTGTAGAAAAAATAGGAGGGCCTTGTAATGATGAAAAAAATCAAAATTCTTTTTCGCAAATTTTAATTAAAAGTAATGAATTGTCTCATAATATCAATCAAATGTTTCAAAAACTTAATGAGAATAATAATTGTGTATGTTGAAGTTTAATTAATTTTTTAAAATGAAGAGGTTAAATTTAGGAAATTTAAATTTTTATTTTCTGTTAAAATTAATCTAATTTTCAAATGTTAAGGAGGAAATGTAAATTTTTTTAAAGAATTCTCATAGTTTCCCAAGAGTTTATTTTTCTTAAAAAATTTATTTAATTTCCAGTATTTTTTAACAAAAATTAAAATTATTTACAAATTTTTAAATTTATCAAATAAAAGTTTAAAAATATTTTTTTAATTTAAAGAATCGTCAACAAAAACTACAAACGGATAGATTAATGGATCATTTTGTGGGTGTCTTAAATCAATTACAAGCAGCAAAAAGGAAGGCTGCTACTTACGAAAAATCAAAAATTCAAGATGTTTCTGATCAACAAATTAATGAAGAAATAATGGATTTTAAATTAAAACAAACCCAACAACAACAACAACAAAATTTAGAAGAAATTAAAGAAAGACAACAAGTTACTATTTATTTTTAAAAATAAAATGGATATTTATTTTAATATTTTTTGAAATTATCCTAATTAACAAACCGTAGAAACTGTATTAACTGCCCTGGGTAATTATTGTTTCGATCCCTCGCTGTTGGGGGTAACTAATACAGGCGGGGTAGTTATTTGAGGGAGGGACATTAATACAGTTCTTATGGTATTTGTCAAAATTAATTTTTAACAAAAAGTCTTCTCTTTGTTTTAAAATAATTTCTATCTTGTAGACATTATCGTCATTAGAAAAAGACATTGGGGATATTAATCAAATATTAACTGATTTATCTTTAATGGTTTATAATCAAAATGAAGTTGTTGAAACTATTGAAGTTAATATATTTTTAAATTTTAAAAATAATTATTTCTTAAATTTAAAGTCAAATATAGAAGTTGCAGCTGTTGAAATGCAGCAAGGAAATTTACAAATAGCTCAAGCAAATGAATACCAAATAAAATCAAGAAAAAAGAAATTAATCTTGAGTATTTTTTGTTTTTTAATTTTGTGTGTATTTTTAATTATTTTTTGGATATTAATTAAAAAATAAAAAGAAAATTATTTTTAGAGTATTTTAAATTAAATAAAAAAGTACATATTTTTGAAAAGATAAACAATAATTAAAAAATAGCAGGAATTTCTAAAAAAATAATAAAGTATTTTTGCTGTTAAAAAGAGAGATCAGGAAAACAAGGAAAACTAGATTGAACAAGAATATCCAATTTCCGGAGTACCGGGATAGGAAACCGAAACCCTAGTCCGAATCTACAAATTGCTCAGGCATTTTCCTAGTTACACCATTTCTTTCTAATTTCTCTTTTACTTATTCATCTTTTACATATTTTTTTTAATTTTACTGACACTTAAAATTTTTAATTTTAAAATTTTTAACAATTTTTAATTTTACATTTTTATTGACAATTAATTTAATTAAAAATAACGAGGGGAAAAAATATTTTAATTAAAATAAAATATTTTAAAATTAAAATCATTTATCGTTGATCACCCCACGGTTTTGCTTCGTCTCTATTTCTAAAAGTTTTGGAAAATTAAAAAAAAAGTTTTTAATAAAAAAAACTTTATTTGTTGTTGACATTTTAATTTAATTTCAAATATTTGTACAAGATTTTGCCACATTTGTGTTTGTTCAACTAAATCTTTACGGTCATTTAAGTTATTAAATTCCTTGGTTAATGAAGAAATTTGTTGATTACATTCTTCTTTTTGTTTCTAAAAAAATTTTTTTTAATTTAGAAATTAATTATTTAGATTGTCCAAAGGGAGAAAAATATTTGAGAAATTTTGTGTGCTCTTCCATAAATATTAATAGCCAAAGAGGCGTTTAATATTAGAAAAATTTTTGATACGATTGAACATATGTAGGAAGTAGGGTTTGACCCCGAACGCTCGGGGGCGGGTATGTCGGGGTACGGGGTTTTCGAATTGTTTCGGGGCGGGGTTCGGGTCGGGGGAGCAAAATATGGTCGGGGTTCGGGTCGGGGTACGGGGGTTTACTGAAAAAATTTCTTTAAAGAAATAATGCTCTAAAAATAAGTCGTTTTAGTCTATTTTAGTTAATTTATTCACAAATTAATGAGAATAAGTGGGATTAAATGGAAATAAGAGCTAAAAAATCTTTACATTGTTTTTTATGGTTGATAATATTTAAAAATAGATTCACATTTTAAATTAAAAATCCATAAACAAACGAGTCCAGATTATTTGGATCAACCCCAATCCTATATTTATAGAAATATACGCTAAAACCAACAACTAACCCACTCAACCACAAGTCTCTTAACAGAGCAGGAAAAAGAATTTTGATATTTCTTTCATATTTCTTTCGAAAATAATAAGGGCAAAGTAAATTGGGAGGAAATTTTTTAAATTTTTCCCTTAAAATTCTCCCAAAAATGGCATTTTTTGGGTATGTAAAACCCCGATAACCCCGAAACTTTTCGGGTCGGGGTACGGGGTTTTCACTTTTTTTCGGGGCGGGGTTCGGGTCGGGGAGAATCGTGAAAAAATCGTTCGGGAACGGGGTCGGGGTTCGGGGTACGGGGTCGGGGTCAAACCCTAGTAGGAAGTATGAGAAACACCAGAAAATTGCAGTCATATAAAATTTTTGGAATGCAAATTAAATTAAAAATACCTCCAAAGTGTGATAAGCACGTTCAACCTTTAAATAAAAAAAATATTTTACATAAACATTCCTTTCCACCTGTTCAGAATTTCCACTATTTTCACTTAACCATTTTTGTTTTTGTAAATTATTATTTGTATTTTCTAATTCTGATTGTAATTCTTTTATTTTTTGTTCTAAATTAATTGTTTCCTTAAATTTTAATTTTTTCCTAAAATTACTTCAAAAATACCGTTTCATTTAATTCCGTTTCTCGTTTAAATTCTTCTTGATAATTATCAAGTTCTGCTTTTAATGTATAAAATCCTTCATTTTTCTCCTAAATATTAATTTAAAATTTAATTAAAACTCTCTCATTTAAACACCTTATTTTCCAAATAAAATCTGTCAATTTCTGCATTTAAATTATCTACTTTATTCCTTTGTTCTTCTATTTGTTCATTTATTTGTTTAACCATTTCTTTTAAACGTTCAATGTCTACAGATTTTGGTTTGGCTGTTTTAGGTCTTTGATGTACATTTTGTATTGTATCCTCATCTAGTTTTTCAATAACTCCCCGACCTTCAGCTTTCTTTAAAATAAAATTAATTTTATTTTATTTTATAATTATAAGTATTTCTTCCTCACATTATTTTCTTTAATTTGCTCAAATTGTTCTTCTAATAATTCTAATGTTCTAAAATAGATAATTATTTATTAAAATAAAAAATAAATTTGACAAATTCTGAAAAGGTACAAATAATTATATCCACATTTATAGGAATATATTATGATGCCGTATTCACTTTAATCCAATGGCCGGCCATTTTTATAGGGGGTCAACAAGTCATGTTTTATTTAGTTTTTACATTTACGTGTAAATTCCCATAATATTTAACCTTTCTAAAATTTGCTGTTCAGCTTTTAATTGTTCTGATTCAGCCTTTTTACGTTTATAAACATTTGATTTATTCCGAAGTTTGTTAAGTAATAATTTATATTGAACTGAAGTAACAACCTCTTCTTTTCCACTTTTCTCACTTAATTCTCTCTTCTTTTCAGTTAACAATTTTTCAGTGTTTTCGAGTTCCTCTCTATTTTTAAAATTTAATTTTTTAGAAATATTTTCTAATATTTAATTAATGTTTCGACTTTTATTTTTTTCGACTTAATTTTTTTCGACATTTAGTTTCGACTTTTAATATTGTTTACGGCTTTTTAAATAATTTGCCTTGTCATCTGTAAAAGATCTGCCACATTAGCCTTCTTCCGCTGCACATTTACTGACTGATGCCGATAAATGGCAAGTTTGTCTTCCGATGCCTCGTCTCTACGGTCTCGTTGCAGAGCTAATTCCATGCATTCACTGTTTAATTGTTCAATCTAACAAAATTAAGTGAATGTAATTTTGATTGAAATTAATTAAATATTCACCCTTTCCTTCAATTTATCAACATCCGCTTTTGTCGCATTTGGCTGTGCCAGGATACGTTGGACTACTTCCAAATTTGTTTTTAAAGTATTCAAGTCATGTTCAAGCTTTTCATCAATTAAATAACGATTAACTTCTATTTCTCTCTTTAATTTTAATTTTAAAATTTAAAAATGAAGGGTTAATTTACTCGAAGTTTCTGAATAATTGTTTTCGGGTCAGCTTCGTCCCTTCGATGCTCTTCCTCAGTAAGTACACGTCCTAATCTTGTCATTCGCTGTTCAGCTTGATTCACCTATTTAATTTAAAAATGCACGGGTATTTAAATAAAAGAGAGGAAGGAAATTTTACTGCTCTTTCTTGATCCATTTTTTGCATTTTTAATTCCTGAGCACGTTCCATTTCCAAACGTAAACGTTCACATGTCTGGAACATAAATTTTAATCTTAAGCCTAATTAGATTAATCATTACTTTAAGTAAGTTTCCCATATCGGGACGTCTGCTTGTACGCCTTTTACAACGTTCAATCTTCCGTTGGAGCTGTTCCCGTTCTTCATTCATTGCCTTAAGGTCGTTACTATAGAAAGATATCATATTATTTATCATTGAACGATTGTAATGTAAATTACAAACCGTACATCCAATGCACGGAGAAAATCACCTCTAGCTTCCACATTCTGTGAGTGTAGAACCTTGAAAACTTTAAAATTAATTTTCACATTATACATTAATCACTTTAAATTCTTCCATTTTTAATTCCATTTCTTGCATAAGACGGGTTACTTCGGGCGTTTGTTCCTCCAATGGAACTTCTACTCGTGTAAGATGCCGCCTATAAAGATAATTTTTAATCCATTCTGTTTAATGGAGATTCTCTAATTTTTAAAATTCCCTAACCCAATATAAATCCGTTCCTTCAGCTGATCCACATTTTCAAAAATCCATTTAAGGATTGGATAAATTGCTCTTTTGTTTCCTTCTAACAAATCTAATCTCCAGCGCTGTCTACAATAAATATATTAAAATTTTCTTAAAGTTATTAATAAGAAATTAATTTACATTTCGTCAATATCACGTGGAGGTGGATATTTTAAAATTCGAAGTGTAGCCAGAATTCGCATAGCAGTCTCATCAGCACTTTCTGACCGAATGTCAATAAATTCTGAAATAGGTACAAGCCCCTCAATCCAACTAAGCACATCAGACAATGTTTGTAACAACTTCTCATTGCTCATAGAATCCAACTTGACCAGTGTCAAGTTACGATCAAAGGGAGGGGCATTGAGACCGTCAATTATAACACGAAGTATTTCAGTACTCATTTAAGAATTATATTTTTAATGGTGTAACATCTTAAAAATATTTTGAGTCCAAATTTGCTTTAAAAACCCGTTTCCATGCCAACAAATTATGCTACTGTCGTAGTCCTATTTTTTTATGATGATTTCTTCACTACATATTTAACATTTGAAATTCTTTATTTAGAGAGAATATCATCAACAGCTTGAGGCACGGGAGATCCCGCCACGAAATTCCGAGTTTTGGACAAGAAGCGGCGGAGAAGTTCAACTGAGTCCCGGCTTAATTGAGTCCCGGCCCTATAACTCAAGTACGGGTTGATAATTTTTAATGTTTTTGGTAACATTGGATAGAGAATCAAAAGCTCTATAACATATCAAAAAATCAGAATTTTTGACCAATTGATAAAAAAGTTATGATTTAAAAACTAACTTTTTCAAAAAAATCTGATTTTTCGGCACTTTATCGATCATAACTTTGTTACCAGTCGGTTAGGAATTTTGATTTTTTGGTATATTGTAGCCTATTTAATGCCCTATCTAATGGTACCAAGAGTTACAAAAAGTGACCGTCCCTTCATAAGTTATTAGGCGGGACTCAATTGAGGTGTACCGAAGAAGCGGGATTAATCTACATGGGATCCCTCCAGTTCGCTATGCTGAAAAAATCGCGTTACGGCATACTGGAAATTCGGCCAATATTGAAGAGACGTGCCATTCGATCAGCTTGGCGAGTCGAATGATAAATAGAATGACTTAGGATAAGTTTTTTTTAAATAAGATTAAAGTTTTTTTAAATATTTTTATCAAAAGTCAAATTAAGGCTCTAATTTTTCAAACGTAAAAAATAAATCAAATTACATAAAAAGGATGGACGGGATCAAAAAAATTTTTTCAAATCAATAATTGTGTTCGTGTGCTTAATTTTGTAGGTTTTTAAAACATAAAAATTTTGCACAATTTGAGTCTTTTTAAAATTAATAACAAAAGAAAAAAGGGGAAGTTTAATGGGTAATGGGAAAAGCGGGGTAGTTTAATGGGAAAGTAGATGGTAATTTTTTTAGACCCGAGATTCGCCCTAACTTTTTGTCCTCAACCCGACCCATCCTTTCTATGTGTATTATATAAATAAATTTACATATATCAATTAATTCTCTTAATTACAGAATTCCGATATCCAGACGCATATTCTTCATTGGTTACAGAAAACTTCATTTTTGGATTGTATTTATTAGAGAGTTGATATTCTGAAATTTTTTTCTTGTCTTCAATCTTGATTTTAATATTTTTTGCTTTTTCATTTTTAATATTCGATCCAGCAAGAAAAATGAATTGGATTTCTTTTATAATTTTAGAAATGTTCTGTGATGTTTCTATACGCTAAAATTAAATTATAATTAATTTTTAAATTCTGAATAAAATGAATTGACCACTTTGAACCAAGACAATTTTTACGAACACATTAAAAAATTTTGTCTGACCCAAATAATCAACTTGTAGCAGCCCAAGCAGGCCTGAAACAATAGGGGTAGAGGGGACCGCTAGTTTATATCGATAATAAAAATGTACAAACCTCAATAATGAAAAAGTAAGATTTTGAATTAATATATAGAAGAGTAATATTGGAAAATTTGTCTCCCTTTACCAAAATTTGAAATATAAGGTCCACATCTTTTACAATGTCACAGTCAATGATAAGATCATCAGCAATCAAATGGTTCAAAATGAAGTTCAAAGAATAATCACCAAAAAAAAATAGGTCGATTAATTGTGAATGTATTTGCAAAGGTAGATTTGTTATATTTTCATCAAATAATAATTCAATCATTTGCGGATTAATTATAAGACGAGAAACTTGAAAAACTTCGAAAGCACAGTTAAAAAGTAATTGGAAGAAATAACGAGTAATTTTCATTTCCTCAATATTTTTTGGGAAGTTCATCAATTGAAAGTAGTATTGTTCTAAAAATATGATTTTAATAATTAAAAAAATAATTTTTAATTAACTGTGAAGGTCCTTTGAATAAAAAATTTTCAAGAGAAAAAATTTCCTTATGGTAACATTGAAATTTCTTCTGAACAGCTTATTTATTTTGAAGTTTTATTAACGGAGACCGCCTATACAGTCGTGGAAAAAAGTATGGAAGCGCTAGAAAATTTTTTCTTAATTCTTGATTTTTCATTCAAAAAATACGTTCTATATACCAATCGAAAGCTCTATTCGTATCTCATTGTCAGTTGACATGTTTCTGCATTTTTCATGAAAATGAAAATTGGCCGAGATAATCCGGATCTACCGGATATACCAAATCCCACTTTTTCGGAAAAAATTTTCGGAACAAATTTAACAAACCCAAATGATAAAGCATATTTTTCTGAGTATTTTCCACAAAACCGCTAAGAAATATTTTTTTCCGGAGAAATATTTTTATGATTTTTTGAAAATCGCATTTTTCGTCTATTTTTGCAAAAAATTCAATTTTTAAGCGAAAAATGCGATTTTCAAAAAATCATATCTCTGCTCCGAAAAAAGATATTTTTAAGCAGTTTTGTGGTAAATACTCAGAAAAATATGCTTTATCATTTGGGTTTGTTAAATTTGTTCCGAAAAATTTTTCCGAAAAAATGGGATTTGGTATATCCGGTAGATCCGGATTATCTCGGCCAATTTTCATTTTCATGAAAAATGCAGAAACATGTCAACTGAGATACGAATAGAGCTTTCGATTGGTATATAGAACGTATTTTTTGAATGAAAAATCAAGAATTAAGAAAAAATTTTCTAGCGCTTCCATACTTTTTTCCACGACTGTATGTATGTAACCTTTAATTTAGCTTTAGGGGTAACAGCTAGCCCAGTTCGGTTTCATAATATATTAATTGTAAGCTAACCTGTACCCCATTTGAATCTTTGTTCCAATTCAAAAATGACAGCAGAAAAATCATCCATCGATAAAAATAAGGGAATTGGTTTTTCTATTGCACCCTTCCACTAAAAATTGGATTATTTTAAAATAAAAACTTTCTTAAATTCTAACCTTTTCCTCAAGTTGTTCACTCAATTGAAATTCATAAAGTTGAGGTTCTAATTTGAAGAATTTTTGCTTTTGTTCACAAGGCTTGTGTTCGTCCCATTTAAAGTCATAAAGGTTGAGCGGCGGCATACGTTCTTTGAAATTGTTTAAACCTCTTTCACTGATTTGATTCTGAAAAAATAAGTTACTTCGCATTATCTTCTCATAACGTCCGCATATGTTTATCCGCAAAGTGGATAAACATATTCAAGGATTAATCTACTTTAAATATGAAAAAGGCGTCCTTGTTTTCAAATTAAAACAAGGCAACTTATTAATCTTACATCAAACCATTTTTAAGAAAAAAATGAAGAAAATTTGCGGACGCTGTGGAAAGATATGCAAAAGTAACAATAATTATTGGAATCAATTTTTATAGACAACTTACAATTCCAAGCCCAAAGAATTTCTTCTTTGCCAATACTTTTCCATGTTCATAAATAAAATTTTTGAAATAAACATTTGTTTGTTGAACAGATACTAATTGGGTGAAATCCAAATATTTTAAAACATCAAGTTGAATCTCAGGTAAAAGGTTGAGTTTTGAAAGCATTTTATTTTTAACAGCATCTGGCACCTCGTCTTCTTTGATTGGAAAAATTGTAGTCTTGTACCATTGACCTTCCTAAAAATTTATATTTTTTGAATTAAAAATTAATTAACCTCTTTATAATATTTAACTCCTTCGTGCTCAATAATTTTGCGATCCTTGCTCATTTTTTAATTAAATACTAAAAATAAGTTAATTAAACATTTAAATTTATTTAATAAATAAAAAATAGGGTTGTTGGCGACCGGTTTTAAAACCGGAATTTTTGAAATTTTTTTCTAAAAATTAACCGTTTTTATAAAATTTTTAAAACCGAAAACCGGAATTTTGTGAAAATAAGTGATTTTATTAAAAATTCCCCCAAAATAAAACCGGTATTTGTCTAAAACTAAAAACCGAAAACCGGGTTTCTAAAATTTGGATTAACCGAAAACCGGGGGTACCGGTTAATAACCGGTCGCCAACAACCCTAATAAAAAAGGTACAGCGCCTGAAAAAAGATAATATACTAACAATAAACAAACAAAAATTCCTGCAAAAAATCAAGCACTTTTTGCGATTTGCGGGATTTTGCGACCCGAAAAATTTTTGAAAAAAATCAATTTTGTTCAGCACGGATATTTGTTGAGGTGGACGTTTCAGAGCCATATAGTCCGTGCCCAAGAAATTGGCTCCATGACAATTGTACAGTGGGACAATTGTACAGTGAGACAATTGTACAGAAGACAATTGTACAGTGGACAATTGTACAGTATTAAGCTTTTTAAAAAAATTTTAATGTTAACCCAAAGTATCGAAAACATATTATCAACAATAAATTTTTAATTTTATATACAACATGGGGAGGTTGTTCCAATGACGGAACGAACTTCAATTCGTTGAATTGATAAGCGAAGTCGGTGATCAATCGAGTGAGTGATCAACGTAATCAACCAAGGGTGATCAATCAGTGGAGTGATCAACCTGGAAAGTGAAAATCGGATAAAGTTGAGAAATATCGAATCGAAAACCAAGTGATGATCAACCGGAAGAGTGATCAAACGAGAGCGATAAACGACACCGATATCAATCACCTTAGTGATAAATTAATACTCCCCTTAGAGATTAATTGATCAATCGACACTCTCTCGGTTGATTAATTGAAAAATTTGATCAAAATAAGCTTCCCCGTCATTGAACAACCTCCCGACCCTATCCCAAAATAAGGGCGGTTTTTTTCATTAAATGTAAGGAAAGGAAAAATGGAAAGAAAAATGGAAAGAAAAATGGAAAAGGATGGACACCAGGGATGTCACGGGTTGAGAAAAATGTCGGGTCGGGTTTTCGAAATTTTCTTCGGATCGGGTTTCGGGTTTCGGGTCGTCGGGTCGGGTTAGTTAAAATTTGAGTATGAAGCCAATTTTTTGGAGCTGTTGGGTATATCAGATATTTAGGGGGATATCCAAGTCCGTCCGTGTTTTATTTGTCCGTGTCCATCCGTCTCCTTTTTTATTTCCATTTTTCCTTTCCTTACATTTAATGAAAAAAACGATTCCGCCCTTATTTTGGGATAGGGCCCAACCTCCCCATGTTGTATAATACAATTTAAAAAATTTAGTGCTGATCATATGGTTTTCGATACTTTGGGTCATATTTCTTACTTATTAGAGCAAAGTTAAATTTCTTTTTAAAAAGCTCTGAATACTGTACAATTGTCCACTGTACAATCGTCCGCTGTACAATTGTCTCACTGTACAATTGTCCCACTGTACAATTGTACCAAGAAATTATCGTTCGTCACATTGCCAAATCTGTGGAATGATGACTAGTGAACGACATATCGACTTTTTCTTAAGGAAAAAAAGTCGTTTTAAAAAAATCTACAATTATTCGCGAACGACTTTTTTTAATAAACAAAACGCCAGAACTACGTAAATATCGATGTTTTACGCCAAACGATTGCGAAACGACTTTTTTGTATCTCTTTTTCTCTAATTTTTCATTATATTTCCTTTCTCTTTTTCTATTAATTTTCGTTCAGTGCAGTCTCTCAATTTGTAAGGAGGTTTTTTGTAAATTGGATTTCATTTTTTTTATTTTTAGGGGTTACAAAAGTTTTTTTAAGGCTTTGGAGGCTCCATCGAATGAAACATCAAACTTACAAAACATACCAATTTTGTATGTTTTGAATAATTAAAAGAAAACAATAGAAAAAAACGAAGAATTGATAAAAAAAATTATCATCTACTTGATTTGGGGTCGCTTTAGTATATTCCCACAGATTTTCCAGCGAAGATTCTGTTGAACATTTTCTAAAGAACATTTTCAAATGTAGTCGAATCTTGACTCTAGGCTTTTCTTGGGCTTTTTCGGGCATAGGGGGAAGTTAAAAACAAAATTTCAATAAAAAAATGAGACAAATAAACAAATTTATCAAAAAAACTAAAAGCCAATGTCTCGTTTCACTCATTAGATTTGTGGCCCTAAAGAGGGCCGTTTGGGTTGTGGCTTCTATTCCATTAAGACTGCAATTCAAAGGTTGCCAGGCAGAATCACTTCAACAGCAAATCGCCCGAGCACGTCGTTGTAACACTTAGAAAAATGAATTAAAAAATTGAAAAAATTTTAAAAAATTCCAAAAAAATAAGATTTAAAAAACAACCTCTCCTATTGTTTCCCCATTGTTGCAGCCGTAGGATGGAGTTCGACACACATCAAACAAGTTTTGATTAAACATAAAAAAGAAAAAATTTAGGAATGAAAAAAATTTAGCAACTAATTCTAGGATCAATGAAATCTGACCAATATTCAGATTTCTCAATATTCGGATACAGATCACTGAATATTGAGAAACCTTAGGGGCGGTTTTTTGGAGTAAAAAAGTTTATACAAACGATAGCTCATTCAAGTTTCAGGGTGCGAAATTCGGTTCGGGAAGTGTAATTTAACCCGGAAAGTAATTTACCCACAAATTATAATGCACCGAAAAACAAAATAACCTGATAATGGTTGCTGCTCCAAATGTCGTTGATGGTAAGTGTTTGCTTCTGAAAATTCACTACTACCATTAACAATAAGACTTCCAAATGTTGTACTAGGAGGCTAATGAGACAGGCATTAATTCTACAGCTTCAAAATTTCAATTTTTCTGCAATTTTCCTTCAAATTTCCTTTCCTACCTCCAAAGCCTTAAAAAAACTTTTGTAACCCCTAAAAATAAAAAAAATGAAATCCAATTTACAAAAAACCTCCTTACAAATTGAGAGACTGCACTGAACGAAAATTAATAGAAAAAGAGAAAGGAAATATAATGAAAAATTAGAGAAAAAGAGACACAAAAAAGTCGTTTCGCAATCGTTTGGCGCAAAACATCGATATTTACGTAGTTCTGGCGTTTTGTATTAAAAAAAAGTCGTTCGCGAATAAAAGTAGTTATTCGCCGCGAATCGACGAAAACGTAGATATGTCGTTCACTAATGATGACAATGTGATTTTTAATTTCTTAAATTTTTATTTAATACTAGGTAGTTTTTATCTTATTTGAACATTTTTGCTTCGATTTTATTGTCAAAGAGGAAATGGGATCTGATGCTGGAGACTGGTTTTTTTCTATTTAAATTAACATTTTCAATTATTTTTAAAGGTGTCTTATCGAGAGCGATCCCGGTGTTTTTACTGAATTAATTAATGGCATAGGCGTTCAAGGTGTTCAGATTGAAGAGCTTTATTCGATTGACGATGAGGAACATCTTGACAAATTAAAGTTTTTTTTAAATTCCTTTATTTAACTGAAAGATTAGCCCATTAAAAGACTAAACTACGTTTTTCGTATTAGCCTCAAAATTGAACAATTTATATGTCATCGAATGAGCTCGTCGAGCTGAGTCGAATGACACCAAAATCAACGAATTCTGACTTGATTTGACAAAGTTATGGCCGTTTGTTTTTATCCCCTACATAAGGTCTACGCGGAATAAAAGCTTTTGCCGCTGCGGACGACCTCAGCGAACCGTGAACGACCGCAGCGAACCACGGCCATTGAAGACCATGACCGGCCTACCCTCCGTAGCAGCACAAAAACAGTTTTTCCAGCGAAGATTCCTTTGGTCATAACTTTGTTCATAATCATCCAATCGAATTGATTTTGGTGTCTCTCGACTCAGCTCAACGTGTTCTTTCAAACGAGCTATCATTTATAAAGTCGAATTTTCACACCAAAATTGAGCTTACTCTCCCCATGGTTTTTGACCATTTCGAGCCCTATATCTCGGCTCAGAGTGTTTCCGTGGACTAATTTTGGTGCCATTCGTCTCAGCTCGTTAAGCTATTTCGATTGACATATAAATTCTCCAATTTTGAGCCTAGTACGGAAACTAGTCCGGCCCATTAAAAATCATTTATTCATTTAAATATAGGCCAATTTATGGTTTAATCTTTCTTTTCAAATGGCGACAAGGTGAAGAAGTAGAAGGTACTCTTCAACCTGATGCTCCTGTCTATTTTGCCAAACAGGTTTTTTTGAGATTTTTTGTTGTTTAGTGTTTTAAAATTATTTATTTTAAGGTCATTACGAATGCATGTGCTTCACAGGCAATCATCAATTTACTTCTAAATATTGATTCAAATGATGTTAGTTTGGGGAATACACTGGAAAACTTTAAAAATTTTACTCAAAATTTTGACGCTGGATTACGTGGTCTTACTTTAAGCAACAGCGAAGAAATCCGAAAATTGCATAATTCGTTCAGTCGGGAACATTTTATGGAGATGGATTTGGTTTGTATTTAATTTTATTATTTTTCAAATTAATTTTTTGGCAAAACAACGATATTTTTAACTCACAAGGGAACCTTCAGAACTGTGACCAAAAATGGGGGTCAGGGCCAAAAAAGACTAGCATAGGAATAGGCTATCGACCATGCTCTACACGACGGAATAATTTTTATTTAGAAAATTTTCGTCACATTTAGGAAGGTTTCCCTTGTTAAATATCTCAATTTTTGAATATGTTTCACACATTTTGCAGAATAAGTTTAACCCGAAATTAATAATTTGCAAACTCATTTGAAGACCAATCTCTATTTTATTGGGATTTTTAAGTTCTTAATTCTAAATCTTTCCCATCTAAAGTTCCAAAATTATTGTAGATTCTTTATTAATCTTATTCTTATTAACATTAAATTTATTTTTACATTTTAAAGCCAAAGATAAAAAGTGAAGACAATTTTCATTTTATTGCTTATGTACCTGTTGAGGATAAAATTTATGAATTGGATGGATTACGTGATGCTCCTATTTTTTTGGCGGATATTAATAAAGAGGAGGGCAATGATTCAGATAATTGGATTGATATTGTTCGTCCATTCATTAAAAGACGAATTGAGAAGTAATTTTTTTAATTTTATTATTTTAAACTTGGTGAATTTTAAAAGATTTTAAATATCTAGGCGGGTTTATCTTAATCTTACATTATTGTTAACCTACAAAATTTTTTATTTTTAATAAAATAGGGTTATCGCCAAAATTTAATTTTTTAAAATTTTTCTGTGAGGAAACTAGATCATTTAAAATAAATTTAATCAGATATACTGCTGGTGAGATTCATTTTAATTTAATGGCGTTAGTTCCTAATTTGCGTTCCAAATATGAACAGCGAATAGCTGAGCTTAGCACGGTATTTATAATTTTATTTTAAAAAAATTAAAAATATTTTTAGATGGAAATGGATTCTGCTGAAGTTGGACTGGAAATTAGTCAATTACAAAATTTAATTGAAGATGAAAAGGATAAAATGAAACGTTACAAAATTGAGGTTATTTTTATTTAAAAATATTTTTTGAAATTTTTAATGGGGGGAGGGGTTATTCTTTACTAGATTGTGATATAATTTTAAAATTATTTTTTTGGGGTTTTTTAAAAACTAATGTCATTGAAATACGAGAGACGATAAATACATGTTACATTTTTTTATAACTCACAGTCTAAATATCGGAGAGGAAAATTTTCCTAAATCCAATTTTCCTCAAAACGAGTGGGCAACTAAAATAGTCGAATATTATTTATTTTAAGATTAGATAATTAAGATTTTTTGAGCAATATATTTAAATACCAAACGATATAATATACATAAATTAATGTACCATGTGACTGTCTTGACAAAAGCTAAAGGACACTTCATTCATATTGAAATATTTATTAAATATAAATCTAGAATAATCGTCGTCGCCACAATTATATGCCGTTTTTAATTGAATTATTAAAATGTTTGGCTAAAGAAGGCAAATTGGTTGATTTGGTTTGTGAAGCACAAGAGAAAAAGAAAAAATCTGCGACTTCTCCAACCAAGAAAGTGGTGAAATAATTAAATATGTATATGCACAATATTTGTTAAAATTAAATTCTTTTCTGATTTAAAAGTAATTTCTAAAAAATTAAAGAAAAAATCATTTTTCAATATTTTTTATTGACATCGTTTAAATAAACTCGTTTTAACCTAATTTGTTTTTTATTTAAATGTTTTTATCTGAAATGTAGTACTTGATTTTTATTTTTTCTCACTATTTTGACCGGTGCAACAATGTGTATTGCTCGGTTTTGGTTTCATATTTGGCAATTTATTTTGTGCTAATAAGGCACCATTGTTTGCTGTAAGTGCGAATTTAGCAGAGTAGCCCCGATTTCTCGTAATTGATAATACAAAAATTTTAATTTTTAAATTAATTGTTATTTTTAATTTAGTATTTTTCAGCAAATTCAATTAGTAATTGGAAATCAAACTTTAAATTTTTATAGAATTCAGATGGGTGAAATTAATAATTCTGATGAAATGTTAAAAGAAGAATTGGAAAATTTAAAAATTGAAAATGAAAAATTGAAGAAAGATAAAGAAGAGAGTGATAAAAAATTGGATGAAAAATGTGAAGAAAATATTAAATTAAAAGAAGAAAATTATAATTTTGCACAGGAATCGGAAAAAAATAAATTTTTAATAAAACAATTGGAAGATGAAAAATTGAAAAATTTAAATGAATATGAGGGGGAAATTAAGGTAATTTTATTGTGTAAATTTGGGATAATTTCATTTGATACGAAAATTTAATAAATTTCTTCTATGTATTATGTAGTAATAATTTTGGGATTCTAAGATTAAGAAAATTCATTCCTCCATTTTTAACTTAATTTAAATTTAGATAAAAAAAAATAATTTTTATTTAGAAATTTCAAAGTAAAGTTGAAGAACTTGAAAAAGAGAAGAAATGTGCTCTTAATTTATATACAAATCTTGAGATAAAATTTGAAGAGGATAAAAATGAATTGATTATTAATTTAAAAGCAGACAATGATCGTTTAAAAATACAAGTTATGGAACAATCTCGTGAGGAAGGACTGACATCTTTAAAGGTAAAATATATAATTTTTAGTAAATTGATTCGAGTTGTTCATAAAATAATTTTTAATATTAAAATATATTTTTATTTAGAATTTTTATTTTTTAGCTTAGCACTGAAAATAAAAAAGTTCAGTCAGAAAATGAACAATTAAAGGAAAAATTAAAAAATTATGAATCTGAATTGCATGAATATTCAGTTAAACATGAAGGTTTAAAAAAGTCAATTGACGAATTAAATAATCAAATTACTTCAATGAATGAATTGGCTAAAATAGTAAGAATAATTAATAATATTGTGAAGTAAATAGGCTTTTATTTGGTAGAAGATAATAAGTAGTAAATATTATTTCCGTCAATATCGATATATTCGACTGTAGTGGAAAATGATTTAATTTAATATGAATATCTAATAAATTCCATGTAATAGTAATGAATTTTTGGGATTCTCAGATAAAAAATTCATTCCTCCATTTTTACCTTAATTTAAATCTACATATATTTTTTAGAAAATTCAAAGTAAAGTTGAAGAACAAGAAAAAGAGAAGAAATGTGCTTTTAATCAAGAAAATGTTAAATTAAATGAAGAGGTAAATAAAATTTATTTTTATTATACAAAGTGGGTAAACCAAAAATGATTGCCCAGTCTTCATACGGTCATGATTTTTCGTTCTTTTCTATTTTTTAATGCTTCAAGTCTATTTTATATCTCATTCAATTTTGCTAAATCTTCTATCTGGATATATATTGTATAAAAAATATATCTAATTTAGCATAAATTACTTTTAAGATTTATTTTTCAGCTAGAAAACGATGCTTCTACGTCTCTCAATCAACAAATAATTAAGAAAATAAAACTCTTTGTGCCCCCCCCACTGCCGAGACATAATTAATTTTTAATATTTATAAATTTTAATCCAAAATTTAGACATTCCCAGGACGATTTTTAGGGCCTGGGGGCCGGACACAGAAAGAATTGGAACTCTCATGCCGGTGTAAGCTTTTCCTTGCTGGAAAAGGCGTCAAACATTCTAAAAGTGAAGAAGAAATGCATGTTCTTATAAGTGTAAGTGAAAAATAGAAATCTGATGATCTAAGACCAAAAATTTTTCAAGACTCGAGACTACACCCCAAGGCCCAGACTTCCCCAGACGCAAGACCAAAAATTAATAAGACTAGATACAATTTTTGTATCATATTGCAAATTTTTGTTGTTTTGCGTACGCCAAAATGTCGATTTTTAGAAAAATCCATGAAAAGTCTCGAGTCAAGACTCAAGGCCAAGTCTTGGACAGCTCTGATAGAAAGCATCTAGAAGGAGAAGGATTGTCATCGTAGAAGAGATTGTCACTTTTGTAACACCACAAGCGAAGATTTCCAGAATTTTAGGGATTAATTTAAGGGGATTAATTTCGTAAATTAATTTAACTGCGAGATATGTCAGAGTATCATTTTTTATTTATGTTTAGCCCATCTATCACATCAACACTTCAGATTTAGGCAAAGCTCAAAAAGAAATTATGGAACTATTTAAATTAAAAAGAATGGATCCTGTTCGAGAAGCACAATTGACTGAATTAGCAAGAATTAAACAAAAATTGGAAGAAGAAAAAGTAGCTGAATCGGAAAGAATTGAACAAGAACGTAGAGAAGAAATTAAAAAATGTCAAGAAAAAAAAGGTACGTGTATTTTATTAACATATTTTTTGGATAATTTTGTTTTTATAGTTAGATCTTTTGTTTACAAAAACCTTAAAAATTGTTATTTTATATATTAAAAATTTAGATAAAGAAGAAGTAGAAGATGCTTTTACATGTTTAGTCTGTAAACAAAGATTTGGAAAGAAACACAGAATTCCAGTGCTATTTACCTGCTCACATACTTTTTGTGCAATTTGTGCTCCACGAATGAAAGAAGAAAATTTATTTACATGTCCGAAATGTCGGAAGATATCTTTGGGAAATATTCTAGATAATAAAAATTATCAATTAATAGGTATCCTTTTTGAGATTTAAGAGTTTTTTTTTAATTTTAGAGGCGATGGAAGCAATGAAAATGTATGAAGACGATGATCCACCAACACCTCCACCAACTTCGTATTTGTGGTAGACTCCCTCCCCGCGACATCCCGACCATCCGGCAATGAGAGCAAACAGGAATATGCAATAAAAATGATAAAAATTATCTTTGAATTTAAATTATTTTTTGTTTAGTTAAAAATTTATTGAAATTTAGCACTCAAAATTGAGATTATTTAATTTTTCTTTTTAGAACTACTTTTCTTATTTTTACATATTAAAAGTTTGCAGTTTTTATATTAGAATTTTGATTTTATTGTCAAGGAGGAAATGGGAACGGATGCCGGAGACTGGTTTTTTTCTATTTAAAATTTAAATTAACATTTTCAATTATTTTTAAAGGTGTCTTATCGAGAGCGAGTTTTTTTTCAATTTTAGAGGCGATGGAAGCCTCTAAAATTGAAATGCCTCTAAAATTGATGGAAGCCTCTAAAATTGTTTTTACTGAATTAATCAATGTCATAGGCGTTCAAGGTGTTCAGATTGAAGAGCTTTATTCAATAGACGATGAGGAACATCTTGGAAAATTAAAGTATTTTTTAATTTCCTTAAATTAACTAAGATTAGCTCATTAAAAGGCTAAACTACAGTTTCCGTACTAGGCTCAAAATTAAACAATTTATATGTCATTCGAATTAACTCGTCGAGCTGACTTGTATGACACCAAAATCAACAAATTTGGTGTTGATTTTTACCCCATGGTTTTTGACCATTTCGAGCCCTATTTCTCGGCTCAGAGTTATTTCCGCGGGCTAATTTTGGTGCCATTCGACTCAGTTAAGCTCTTTTGATTGACATATAAATTGTCCAATTTTGAGACTAGTAAGGAAACTGTAGTCCGGCCCATTAAAAAAATCATTTAATAATTATAGGCCAATTTATGGTCTAATCTTTCTTTTTAAATGGCGACAAGGTGAAGAAGTAGAGGGTACTTTTCAACCTGATGCTCCCGTTTATTTTGCCAAACAGGTTTTTTTGAGATTTTTTGTTGTTTATGGTTTTTAAATTATTTTAAGGTTATTACGAATGCATGTGCTTCACAGGCAATTATCAATTTACTTCTAAATATTGATTCAAATGATGTTAGTTTGGGGAATACACTGGAAAACTTTAAAAATTTTACTCAAAATTTTGACGCTGGATTACGTGGTCTTACTTTAAGCAACAGTGAAGAAATCCGAAAATTACATAATTCGTTTAGTCGGGAACATTTTATGGAAATGGATTTGGTTTGTATTTAATTTTTTTATTTTTCAAATTAATTTTTTGACAAAACATATGAAATTTTTAACTCAAATATTTCAATTTCTGAATATGCTTCACACATTTTGAAGAATAAGCTTAACCCGAAATTAATAATTTGCGAACCCATTTGAACCTGCCTCTCCATTTTATTGTTGTTTTTAAGTTCATAATTTTAAATCTTTCCCATCCAAAGTTCCAAAATTATTGTAGATTTTTTATCAATCTTATTTTTATTAAATTTATTTTTTCTTTTTAAAGCCAAAAATTAAAAGTGAAGACAATTTTCATTTTATTGCTTGTGTGCCTGTTGAGGATAAAATTTATGAATTAGATGGATTACGTGATGCTCCTATTTTCTTGGCGGATATTAATAAAGAGGAGGGCAATGATTCAGAAAATTGGATTGATATTGTTCGTCCATTCATTAAAAGACGAATTGAGAAGTAAATTTTTTATTTTATTATTTTAAATTTGGTTTATTTAAAAAAACCAAACAACGAATTTTTTACATTATTTAAAAAAATTTTTTACTTTATTCGATTTTCTTAACATTTTTATTTTAAATATCTAGGCGGGTTTATATTAATCTTACATTATTGTTAACCTACAAAATTTCCTAATTTCTACTAAAATAAGGGTTATTGTCAAAATTTAATTGGTTAAAAATTTTTCTGTGAGGAAATTCGATCATTTAAAATAAATTTAATTAGATATACTGCTGGTGAGATTCATTTTAATTTGATGGCTTTAGTCCCAAATTTGCGTTCCAAATATGAACAGCGAATAGCTGAGCTTAGCACGGTATTTATAATTTTATTTTAAAAAAATTAAAAATATTTTTAGATGGAAATGGATTCTGCTGAAGTTGGACTGGAAATTAGTCAATTACAAAATTTAATTGAAGATGAAAAGGATAAAATGAAACGTTACAAGATTGAGGTTATTTTTATTTAAAAATATTTTTTGATATTTTTAATGGGGTGGGGGTCATTCTTTACTAGATTGTGATATAATTTCAGAATTATCTTTCGGGTTTTTTTCAAAAATTAATATCATTGAGATACGAGAGACCATAAATACATGCTACAATATCGGAGTAGAAAATTTTCCTAAATCCAATTTCCTCAAAACGAATGGACAACTAAAATAGTCTAATATTATTTATTTTAAGATTAGATAATTAAGATTTTGTATAAGCAATATATTTAAATACCAAACGATAGCTGAAATTATTTTCATGTAAACGAAAAAATACTTTTCATTCTCAATGAAATATTTTTTATTAAATTTTTCTAATAATATAAATTTAGAATAATCGTCGTCGTCACAATTATATGCCGTTTTTAATTGAATTATTAAAATGTTTGGCTAAAGAAGGCAAATTGGTTGATTTGGTTTGTGAAGCACAAGAAAAGAAGAAAGAATCTGCGACTTCTCCAACCAAGAAAGTGGTGAAATAATTTAATACATATATGCACAATATTTGTTAAAATTAAATTCTTTTCTGATTTAAAAGTAAATTATAAAAAAATTACGAAAAGAAAATCATTTTAATATTTTTTATTGACATTGTACTTCATTGTCTGTTTGTATAGCAATCCATTCACAATCAATTTGGGTGTAATAGTCTTTAAATATAATTTTTTTTTAATTTTTTTCTTTCTGGCTTAATTATTTTATACCATGATTTGGTGCATCCTTTCCGTGACATGGGCCACCTGTCAGTGTTCCAATTTGTGTCCATTTGCCTGGGGCAGAAGATAACTTGAAAAATAATATTTTTACTTAATCAAATAACCAAAAAGTTTTTTCAAATAAAATTACCAAAAGAGGTCCACCACTATCCCCACTTTCCACCACAGTTTTATTGCTTACAACGCATATTTTATCTGTCAATTTAGATGCTACACGTCTACGTAATTCTCTAGGATTCATTCCATATAGTGCTGGGAAGAAATTTGTAGCATCTAAAATATTTGAGAATATTTTTGGGACAATCAGAAATCTTTTAATAATTTTATTACTTCTTTTTGCCATTTCTTCCATATGCCATTTTGTTTCTAAATCAACACATTCTTCTGTGGGCAATATATTTTCCTTAATAAAAATCAAATATTCCTTTTTTTGTATTTACATTACCCGTCCATATTGAAGTCTTTCTGGTATTTTTGGATGTGTTATTTTCCAAATAATTGAGCTATCGCAATGAGCTACAAATAATATTTTTAATAAATAATTTACTAATTTTACGTTTAGTATTTCCCCACCCAGCAACTAATACTTTAGTTTCCACAGTAGTAACGGCCATTGCTGCTGAATTACGTGAAAGGCAAATTGGCCACAAAGTTTCGCTTAAATTCAAAGGTGTTGCTAACTTAAAAAGAATCTCTATTTTTTAAAAAATAAATCTTTCGTTATTTTTAACTTTTAAAATTGCCATATCAAAAGTAGTTACAGAACCTATTTGATCATCAATTCTGTCATTATATTCACTCCTCAAAATAATTTTTTCAACACTTATAGGCGTTGCTTGACTTAGATTTGCTGATCCAACAAAAACAACTAAAGATTCTGCTGGAATAGATTTTCCATTACCGGCATGTACACAATGACCGGCACTAAGTATATATTGTCTTTTAAAAAGGAAATTTATATTTACTTCCAAATTATTTTCTATTAACCTTCCAATTACTGAACCTGTACAGACAGCATGCCCCAATAAAAAAGCCATCCAAGGCAAATGTCCATCACTTATAATATCATCCCCTCTATATACCTTTTATTTTTTAAAAATAATTAATTTAAAAATAAGAATACAGACAGATTGTGCCCCTTCCGGAGGTAATTCTAAAGTAGAAATTCCGCATTGTTGAGATTCCACAACATTTATTTTTAAAGTAATTAAAAATAAAAATTTTAAAATTAAAATATTTTTAATAAATAAATTTATATATTTTTTGTTATTTTTTATTTTTAAAGAAATAATCATAATTATTATTTTTTATTTTACAAATTATTTTAAAAGTAAAATAATAAAAAGATTTCTTGAGTTATTTAAAAAATTAATTTATATACCTAAACATTCTTATTTTTTTTTGTTAAACAAAATTAAACAAAGATCTTAGACATTAATTTTATTATAAACTTTTTATTCTATTGTATATTTATATTATTCTCCAGAAAAAATAAATTGTTTATTCATAATAAAAAATAATTCTTTTAAATGAATAAAGCATTAAAATTAATAAAAATATGCATATAATTTATTATTTATTTACATTAATTTTAAATATTTTTACTATTTATTGTTTGAAATGAAAATAAAAAATATATTTATTTTTTATTATTTGTCTGATTTTTGTATTTATTAAAATTTATACTTTTAATAAAGCATTAAATTAATAAAGCATTCAAATCTTTTGTCTATTAAATAATTTAAATTTTTAATAAATAAATATTATTTTTTCTAATTTTTATTTCTAACTTATAATTAAATAAAAGAAAAACTAGTAATTTTTAACAGAAAAACTAATTTTCATTAATTTTTGTAAATTTATCACTTTTCTCATTTTCTTTAATTATTTTAATTTCTCTAAATTTATTTAAATTAATTAAAAGTTGAGGTTTTGGTGTTTGAATAATTATTGAAACTAATTTGTAAAAGAGATCCTGAATATCTGCGGGCAAACAAGCAAAGGGTAAAAAGAAAAAATTGAAATCATTTCCAACTTAAAAGAAAAATAAATTTAAAAATAATTATTTTTTGAAAACTTTGATATCTTCTTTTAGGCCATTCAGAACTAATTGCTTCCCAATAAGCATTGACAACAAGTTCTGTTTTGGAACTTAGATTTTTTGGGTCAATGAGAAATAATAAATTCTTTTTACCTAAATTATTTAAGTATTTTTTAATTTAAAAATTATTTTTTTAACTAAATTCGTAAAGTTGTTGGCCATAATCATTTTTTACATTTTCTGAAGCTCTTAACCAAAGTTTTTCAAACATTGCTAAATTCCTTTCAACGCTAGTTAGGGGAGTTTTGAAGAATCCTTTTTTTAATAATTTTTAGAAAATAATTTTTTTTTAAAAATACCTGGCTCTAATATACAAACTTTAACACCAAAAATTAATAATTCAGACCTTTATAAATTATTTTAGAATAATAATTTTCCGGTTTAAATTACCGGATTGTGTCTGCATAGGCTTCTATAGCATATTTCGAAACCTACAATTAATTTGTTTAACTTTTTAGTTTTTTCAAAAATAAAGATTATTTTTATTTTTACTTACATTATAAGGTCCAAGTGTAGGCAAAGCAACACGGGCACATGTACTTGCCATAAAAATAATTCTCGAACCTTTTTCCAATTTAATTAAACGTTTGAATGTTTGGGTTACTCTTATCATTCCCATAGTGTTAACTTTAATTAATTAATTAGAAATTTTCAACGAATATAATTTTTACCTTCCCAAACTTGTTGATAATCATCTGGTAAAAGCCAATCGTCCCATGCCTTAATAATATTTTTTAAATAAAAGGAAATAATATTCTCTCAATTTATTGACAATTAATCTTTGAAGTCAAATTCGTAACAATTTTAGTTTCAATGTTTTTCTGTCAAAACTGCCCTCTCATTTTTGAAAAGGGATTTTCACAAAAAAATAAAAGAGAAACGATCCATTAGCATTTTTAACTTCCCAAAAGATTTCTATTATTTATCTCTTAAATTAATTAAACAAGTCAAAGAGACATACAGTATTGCCAACAATTCCGGCATTGTTGACAAGTGCATGAATTCCTGTATTGTTCGACAATTTTGATTCTACAAATTTAAGACCATTGGCTACGGATTTTTCATTTCTAACATCCATTTGAAATAAATGTAGAATTCCATTTGCTTTCTCTTTTTGTTTTGAGGCTTCTTTTTCAAGTGCTTTCATTCCCTAGATAGAGGAAATTGTAAAATTTTATTTAAGGAAAATTATCAGAAGAAGGAAGGAAAAACTCCTTTGTAATTCTAGATTCTCATTTCCCCCAATCCTCGACCAACCAAATTTCTACCCTTTTCTTAATTATAAACCCATTCTTCTGCAAGTGCGGACACAACACTTTATATTATCAAAAATCTAATATAATATTTACTAACCTCATCACTAAGACAAGCAGCAAAAACACACAATCCTTTATTAAAACATTTTATAGCCAAATCAAATCCAAATCCAGAATCACACCCTGTGATTAACACAGATTTATGTTCTAGATTATTAACTTTAATTCTTCTAATTAGTCCTCGAAAAGCAAAAAAGATAAAAACAATAAAGATAGAAGAAAATAATATAATCATTTTTTGCTTAAAAAATTAAATTTTTTTGATGTTATTTTGTATAGTTTTTTGAATGGGATATCTTAGATTAATTTAATTTAATAAAGGCTTTCTCAATTTAGTCGCCATGAATCTGAAGTATATCATTAAATTTTGAAATTGGGATATTTTATCAAAGCCCGTATAGAATCCTTTAAAAATATGATAATTATTCGTCTTTAATTCACAGAACAGAATTTTGCTTTGTTATATAAACAAAAATTATTAAAATAAATTAAAGTTTGAAGGCCAACTAAATTTAAATACTGCAAATAATTTATTTTTTTTAGTTAATTAAAGTTAACACATTTTTATAAACAAATAAGACAGTCGTTACAATATAACCAACTATGATGGATTAGGTAAGGTGTTAATTTTAAAAATTCAAGAACAATATTTCCACATTAAATTTTAAAGATCAGGTTCAACAAATTTACCTTTCTACTCTCAAAAGTTTCTATTTGGAATATCTTATGAAAAAAACATTTTTTTCTTTTAAAAATTACCATATAATTTTTGAAGAAATAGAAATACATAAATCTAATTATATAATTGAGAAGAGTGTGTCTGTCTGTTTGTCCTTTTATAGACAAGTGGGTTTTTATAGTAAAATGATTTGGGGGAGTGAGGAAATGGGGGCTTTTATAGTAAAGCGTTGCCAGTTGAATTAGGTTGTAAGGGTAAGAAGATAGTATAAAAGCAGGGTATTTTGGTCATTCCACAACTGCTACCAACACATCTCAACTTTACTGTGCTCTGTTCTACGTTGCTGGAGTCCTGTGTCCTTTGAGTGCTAGGCGTCAACGTTCATTTGTCAAGTGCTAGACGTCAACGTTCATTTGAAGTGTGCTAGACGTCAACGTTCATGTGTCAAGTGCTAGACGTCAACGTTCATGTGTCAAGTGCTAGACGTCAACGTTCATGTGTCAAGCGCTAGCCGTCAACGTCACTTGAAGTGCCAGGCGTCAACGTTCATTTGTCAAGTGCCAGGCGTCAGCGTTCATTTGTCAAGTGCTAGACGTCAACGTTCATGTGTCAAGCGCTAGCTTTCAACGTCACTTGAAGTGCCAGGCGTCAACGTTCATTTGTCAAGTGCCAGGCGTCAACGTTCATTTGTCAAGTGCTAGGCGCAAAGTTCATGCAGGCGGAATATTGAAACAATGGGAATTGTGAAGCAGGCGGAATATTGAAACAGGCGGAATATTGAACAAGGGGAATTGTGAAACAGGCGGAATATTGAAACAGGCGGAATATTGAACAAGGGGAATTGTGAAACAGGGGGAGTTGTGAAGCAGGCGGAATATTGAACAAGGGGAATTGTGAAACATGGGGAGTTGTGAAGCAGACGGAATATTGAACAAGGGGAATTGTGAAACATGGAGAGTTGTGAAGCAGGCGGAATATTGAACAAGGGGAATTGTGAAACATGGGGAGTTGTGAAGCAGGCGGAATATTGAAACAAAGGGAATTGTGAAGCAGGCGAAATATTGAAACAGGCGGGATATTGAACAAGGGGAATTGTGAAGCAAGCGGTATTGTGAGAGGCAAGAGGAATTGGTAAGGAGGCAGAATATTGAAACAAGATGAATTGTGGTGCTGGAGGAATATTGAAACAGGGGAATGATGTGAAGCAGGCGGTATTGTGAGGCAAGGGGAATTGCGAAGCCGGGGAATATCGAAACAGAGGGAATTGGGAAGCAGGCGGAATTGTGAGGAAAAAAAATGTGTAAGCGAGATGGGCCGGCCAAAGGCTTGAATCGGATCTTGAGTTGAATTGTTTTATTATGCTAGCGGAGTCACACGACGCCTGTGTGTACCCTATCAGGTGCACCTATTAGATGCTTTGCTTTGTTAAATGTATTTGTAATCAGGAAATGTTTTAATGCTGGTCAATGTTTTGATAATCGGGTTTTTCTGATTATGATTGGATTAGGGCCAATTTTGAGGTTTGATAAGTTGATTTTGAGTTTGTTTTTTGGTCTGTTTTGTTTTTGCTAGCGGGGTGGGGCGGCCGAAGGCCGACCAACTCCGCTAGTTCTTTAAAAATAATTAATTTTGTTTAATTTTTTAAAATTATTTTTCTTAATTTTATAATTATTCACGCCTTAATGTGTTCTAGTATTTTATTAAAAATATAAATTCTTTAAATTGTTTTTCAAGTTTTTAATAGTTATTTGACGATTAGGAATTTGTAAATGAAAGTAATTTCGTGAAAAAATTAAATTAATATTTAAATATTTTAAAGAAAAATTGTTTGTTTAATAAAAGAAAAATAAAGTCTTTTTTGTATATTTTTGTAATAAAATTATTAATTTTTATGAAAATAAGAAAAAAATAAAAGTAATAGATATGATTTTTGAATTGATAAAAGAAGAAAGCACTTTTTATTAACAAAAAATGAAAGGGAGGCCTTTTGTGATTATTTAAATGTAAAAATTTGAGGAAATAAAAAATTGTAAGGGAAATTATTAGGAATATGTAGTAGGAGGGAAAAATTAAAAATTAAAAAAAATTTTTTCGTATTTTTTACAAGCTGGCAATACTCATTATTTTTGATTTAAACTAAATTGATAAGCTTTCACTTGCACAAAAAACAAGAAAAATTAAAAAGAGTTATAAAAAGAG